AAAAAAAAAGTTTTGGTATATATAAATTTGTGTCTTATACGAATACTTACAAACTTGTTTCACTGAGGTTTTCATCCCTGGTTAAAGAGCAGTTATTCCTGGTACAGTTTCCACTCTCATCCTTCATAGTCATGTGTATCGTGTGTATCGTGTGTAGCTGTGTATATTGAATTTACACTGCAGGAGATGATATTCTCCTGTGGAAGTGCTGTTATTTTAAAGCTGCCAACATGAGCACAGGCCAAAACACAATCATAAATTATGTATCTTAATGGAGGTGCTGAAGCTTTCTGTTACTCTGCTGAAAATGTCTGTTTGATGAAGAGTTTCTTATAATCTCATTTGTCAAGACAGCATTTCCACATTTCCTTTTACTTACCTTTACTGTGCAAATAGAAGATCAACCCTGGTCCACTTACTGAGTCTCACTGAGTCCATCTGTAGTTCCATTAGGGCTCTGGTGACATATATATTAATACTTGATGATGAACTTAAACATGTGGCCTAAATTTCCTTCCAGCTTCACTATCAACAATAGAGAGACCTTCTTCTCCAATTCCACCAGAAACAGAATAGTTCATCATGTCCTGCAGCGCACGAAGTACGAGGATGGAAAATCAAAGATGGGTAAAGCATCACAGTACTTCTAATACTTCTCTTTTCTGTTGACATAATGAAAAGTATTTCCATTAGTGTCACACTAGTGGTTTCCAGTGCTCACCATTTGTTATGACACGTTTATCTGCAGTATATGTATTACATTATCTTCACTGACGAGTTGTGCAATGTTATTCTATTACTGACTTTACTTTCTGGAGCAAAGAAAATATAAAATAAACATGACTTTACTGAGCATTTCCATTGATTTACCCTTCAGTATCCCCATGTAACTGCAGATCAGTGGTTATAAACTGGTGGTTGGCACCCTGAATCTGGCCCACTGAACCGTCCAATCACGTCACTGGATACTTCAAATAATAATGTTAAAGTTCTGGCCGTCCAACAAAGAGTTGGTGACATCTGCTGTAGTTTGGAGTCCATTATATATCGTGCAGTAAATTATAGTTGTCTTTATTTGTAAACAGAGGGCACTTCACTTAGGAGCATGTACTGGTGGAATCCTGTATAGAAATATATTTTTCAGTGAATAGCTTTGGAGGAAAGTGATTGGCTCCTCAGTGTGTGATATCAGTGGTATCTAATAAAAGTAATCGTATTGGCAGGACATGCTGGGGCCGTGTTTTTATATAGTTGTCGTTATAACATGTATGTGCAGTTTTTTTAAAATGTTCTATCTGTAAGTTTGCCGATCCCTTCAGTGTGTTGAAGTCATATCTGCTTCCTCAAACAGAGATGTGGAGAAATGTGATGCCTCTGATATTTTTTCAGTGAGATGATGAGAACGTGACTGCCGCTGGTCTGTTAGTGTACTCGTGTCTCATCCCCCTCCCCGCCCCGGGCTTTCGTTTGTTGTTTGGTATCATCAATATGCAAAAAGCTCATCGACTTCCAGTCGTGTCTGACAGCAGACGACACCTGCTGATCAAAGTTTGGACCTTGAGGAGCTGGAAATGGTTCTTCTTTAATATTTTATCACGGTCATCACTGTGCTTTCAAACGAACGCGATCAGCTCAGCAAAAAGTCAGGGAATTAAAAAGCATACTAATGCACTGTTGTCCTGCAGAGATGATATTTCATACATTCTGCCTTCATTCTGTTTCAGGCAGTATCATGGTGGGTTACTTCACTGTGATTGAGGCTCTATTTTACAATCTGTGACAACGTTTGCATGAACACACAGTAATTACAGTTCAGGTTGAATGATGAGAAGAGCTCAGAGGTTTCTGAAAGTGTTGAGGCCTCTAATGTGCCTCTGTAATACAGTTTGTCTGTTACATAATGGACTAAATGTTGTGTCTGTGGTAGAGTGGATTTAAATGAATCCCTAACTACAGCCCTGACCTTAAAATGCCTGCTACTGAATTTTTAACGTGGTGTTCTCCTGTCTCCCTTCAGTGCATTTGTTGACGAGTCCTGCTTTATTATTCATGCAGGTATAAACCGATTATTGGGCAACAGCACATATGAGGCAGCATTTCCTCCTCATGAGGTGAGATTTGTTATTCTTCTTCATTTGTGCTGATTGTGGAAGTAAAAAAAAAAACAACAAACCAAAAACTTCATTCATCACGCTTTCCCCCACCCTTTGTCTCATCAGGGAGGATATAAAAGCAGACATCCTATTGAGACGCATGGTGCACAGAACCACAGACATCTCCTGTATGAACGCTGGGCTCGATGGGGCATCTGGTATAAATACCAGCCTCTTGACCTCATCAGGTGAGGCAGTACTCAGGTAGTGGACATATCAAGCTCTTAAACCCCACAACCCCAGATGCGGGGGCAAAATGAGAAATATTTAAACATTAATAAAAACAAGCTTAATATCCATCAATGTTTCTGTTTAACATTCGACTTTTAGCTTTGGCTAAGCACACAGCTAAAACAACAACATTTACTCAGATAAACATGTTCAAAGACATTAGAGATTGTTTAGATTTGTTTTTCACTAAGTTCTAGAGCAGCTGCCCTTGGGTTTTTTCCCGACAGAACAGCTGAGTGGAGCATGCAGTGGCTCATGACCATATAGAGATAAAGGCACAGACACAGGCCATTCAGATCAGGCCTGGTAAACAGGTGTGGCACCATACTAATTTGGATACATTGTCCACTTTAAATGATGTTTAACCTGTGGTGATATGACTTATTTGAAAACAGAGTTATTTAAATATCATTAAACTAATTTTTTGTCATTCACTGGAATGAAGTTACACTAATTATTGGATTTTTGACTGTTACTTTTATGATTATTATAAATATTCCAGTCAAACTTTTGAATCAAAATTTAAATTTTTCTGCCATTCCTTCAAATTACCTTTAAGAACAATTTACTCTGGGCTGCCATAACACTGTAATCAATATTCTTTACTGCTTTGGTTAGTGCTTAAACATTGTGGTGCATTTGTGTTTAGTGTCATGAGTTCATTACAAAGGAAACCCCAGTACACACAGCCACTGGTTCATCTGCCTCCACTGAGATTCTATAATGATGGGTTTCCATTAAAAAGTGGCTTAAAGCTGTGGGCTGTGGAATAAAACTGGAGAACTAACACAGGCAATAAAAATAAAATGAAGGTCTGGCTGTGAATCATACATTAAAGAACCATATGTATTAGCCCATGGCTGATCAGTGAACCTTCTCTGCTCTTTCTCTCTCTGAGGCGATACTTTGGGGAGAAAATCGGCCTTTACTTTGCGTGGCTGGGTTGGTACACTGGCATGTTGATCCCTGCTGCCCTGGTTGGTGTGTTTGTCTTCCTGTACGGTCTCTTCACTATGGATTCCAGTCAAGTCAGGTACACGCAGCCAGACGTGCTTTTAACCTCATGGAGTTTTCACCCTTGTTTCCTTTTCTCCACAACCTGTTTCTGTGTCTCTTTAGTAAAGAGATATGTGAAGCCCACACGACTACCATGTGTCCGATGTGTGAGGAAACCTGTGAGCCGTGGACGCTGAGTGACAGCTGTGTCTATGCAAAGGTCAGCAGCGTTCTGATATTTGGGTTCTTCTCCCAGACAAGTGGGATTCATCTGATATTTTTAGATTTACAGCAAACATAAAAAAAAAATAAAAAAAACATGTGTCATATTGTCACCTCAAATTTAAAGCACAAGCAAAGAAGAACCACGACCGTGCAGCTGTCACAAAGACGAGGCTGTTTGTTGTTCCTGGGCCGTATTCAACACTACATAAAAAGAATCTTGACTCTAAAGAGACAAAATAGATTTGATTTCCTCAGTTGTTGAGTTTATGGCTTGCAGAAAGCAGTGGTAAAAGAAATGAAAAGCAGAAGGAAACAAAGGAAAAAAAATCTGGTTTCTAATGTAACTGAAAATAAAAATGCAATTAATCAAAATTCCTCCAGATTATCCTACACGGCTGAGGGAAGCACAGAGAGGATACAAAGGTGCTATTGGCTTTCTGTGGCGGATGCAGAGCGGCTGATACACTTACTATGTGCTGTAAACTGAACCCTCGTTCTTCCAGGAAACCGTGTGTCAGATGTGTCAGGACAGAATATCGTAGCAGGGCTTCTAAAGGACCTACTGGGATGAAATACTGATATTATCAGTCCACAACTACTACAGTGGGGAATAACATTCAGTTTGTTATGGTTTAAAAATAAGCAAATGGCTTGTCTGTCGCCATTTTATATAAAGATACTAATTTAATAGACTAATACACTTATAGGTCCACAAACATTTAGGTTAATGTGTTTTACACTCAAGTACTGAGAACAATCAGAAGGCAAACAGTGAGCCCCAGAAATACAGCACTATCCTCAGAATAAAATTCATGATAATAGAGACATTTACATCTCTATACACGTTTAAAGCATGTCTGTTGCTGTTCTGTTTTTTTTGCATTTGTTTAAAGTTTATACTTTGAAAGCCAAGAGTCACCGTCTGAAATTTGGTGCCAACGTAATAGGGTTTATAATAAGGGTTTGTCTTTGTTCCAGATTATGATTTTTGGAACTTTGGAAATTACTCTTAGAACTTTTCTAATTGTGATGTGAAAATTCATCATCAATATCAAAATATACCTAGACCCTATATCATACACATTGTACTAGCAGACTGTAGAAAGTGAAAGTTAATAAAACCTGACCATTTGTCAACATTAGTTTTAAAGAGCAGTGTCTCATGTGCTTGTGTTTCTAGGTGACCCATCTGTTTGACAACGGTGGCACTGTGTTCTTTGCCATCTTCATGGCTATTTGGGGTAAGTGGAGGCGGCTGGGTTTTGAGGACTCTCGTGGTCGTACCTCAGCTGGGCTCTCAGCTTGATACGATCCTCTCTGGAATTTAAATCTATTTATACAAAAATGTGTTCGAGTGCCCGGCTTTTATTCCCTACTCCAAACACATGAAGCTTTTCAGCCGAGGACATAAACACTCTGCAGATCAAATGTTTGGTAAAGCATTTGTTTTATTTTTCACCTAATCAATCAGTATCAGGTTTCCTCTTAGCGGTGGTCTGCTTTAACACCTTCACTGCTGTCCTGGTGTCATTAGTTGGATAGTTACATTGTCTCCAGAGGGAGATTGTGTCCCTCAGTCGGTACCGTTTCGAGAAATGTACCATAATATTCCATATGGGTCGACTGCAGCTGTGCTGTGACAGCACTGAGTTTAATGATTCCATCAGTGCTGTGTGCTGCCCATCTCCCCCCCCCCCCCCCCCCCCCCGACTCTGCTCAGTTTAACCACTGTAGTAAATGGTCAATGATCACCTGAGTCCTGAGGGAGTACTGCACATTATGTTCTGTGTTTGGACTAAATGGAGGTCGAGTGGAGGCGCAGAGTGTAGGAAGGAGCAGACACCCTCACTGAATGACTTCTGTAATTCAGAATCACAGACAGCTTTTATCTACACAGAACAAAATTGTTTTACTGAAACAATGAACTGCAGGTTTAGAGTGTGACTGTGGTCATGCAGACTGGTCAACAACAAACAGATGATAAAACCATAGCACCAGACTTTGGAAGCTGATGCTTTTACTTGACCAAAAGTGGGTCATAGTGGGTATTTTTACACTTGGCTGTTGTAACAGCTGTAGATGT